AAACTAGAGATATTACCCCGAAATAGGACTAAAAGAGTTTGAAAATTTCAAAACATGACTGCCATGTTTTTATTCCCAAAAATGGACTTATTTACTGCCATGTTTTGGCAGTATCAGACTTCAAACATAGCAGTATTTTCCGAATTTGGCAGTAATTACTCATATTTTGGGAATAAAAACATGACAGTCCTACTTTGGAATTTTCAAACTTTTTTAGTCCTGTTTCGGGAACTTTCCCCTCAAACTATCAAAAAAGCCCAATTTAGCTGTTTAGCCGGTTACATGCCGGTTATCAAGTTTCTTACTTACGTGTTGCTTAAGTGGCAGTTATCTGACATTATCTTTTCCTTTTTCTTGAAATTTTCCATCTATGTTTCTTTCGTTACTGAAGATCAACACGAAAAACGAAGATCAATGGAATCAAAGCAATTGAACTCTGCCCCAAAAGCCCAAGGTGGGGAGGTGTGGGATGAGATGAAGGGTCTATTTTTTGGAGGGCCTGCTTTCAGACTTCCAGTGGAGGCGACACCGGTTTGGGTGGCCTGGTGGTTTGACGGTGGTCCGTCGGATTTCAAGACCGGTGTTGGAGTTGGGTTTGGGTGTGCCCTCAGATGCCTTCTCAGAGAGACTCTTTTGGCTTTATACCGGGCGGAGGCATGTAGGAGCTAGAGAAGACCCATCCGGTACAAGAATCGAAACTGGTCTTGGGAGTGGCGCCACCGCCCTCAACTGGCAGCGCTAGCGACGACAGCGAGAGTGAAGTCGTCCTCCAGGGGTAATCGGCAATGGCATATCACCTATCTATAGATATACTCATATAAGCGAGCAACCTGATAACCGGTATGTAACCGGATAAAAAATGAAATTGAGTGTTTTTTTGATAGTTTGAGTGTTGAATTGGTTGATTTGATAATACGGGGACTCGACTTTTTCAGTATAGTACGAGAGCTTATTTAATAGTTTTTCCAACCATAATCAATCAAGAAGAAAATTGACCAACTCCTTGGAGTGCCGCAAGCGGCAGTAAGAGTTAGGCAAACTGGCAAAGAGGCCTCTTCTCTTACTCTTTCAATTTCTATTCCTTCAATCCCTCCACTAACGCAAATTATACTGTGGGATCGGTCCATCATGCGCACGGTGTGCCGATCCCAAACGGTGTCGTTGTAATTAATAAAAATCACCCGCCTTCTTCCTTTTTGCAAAGTCATACCCTATCGATCAGATTCCGATTCAGAGCTAAATCACTCACTGCTTCTCCTCGCCCTTTCATTCCTGACCATCGCTACCAGAAACGAGTACACCAAACTCAGTCACCTCCTACAGCGAGTCAGCGAAGCTGATTCTTGAAGACCGCAAGCCACAACAGTTTCCTTCCCCGTCACAACCTCCTATCGACCTCCTTCAGAAGGACCTCACAATTTCATCTGCAACTCCGACGACGTTTCCGCCATTAGCCCGACGAGGAGCTCTAGTCCGGTCACCTCTATTTCGCTAGCCCGTCTCAAGTGCTCTGTAGTTCTCTTTTAGTTTTGTGAAGAATGCTCTGTACTCTGTCTGTAGCTCTCCTTTTTTTTTTGGAGCAGCGCTAGTTTTCTTAAAAAGTAGATTTGGGTTAAAAAGTTACGGAGTATTCTTCAAAAAAAAAAAAATTACGGAGTACATTTTTGTTGACCAGATTTACATTTTCATTCATCTGAAGTTACATATCTATTGATATGAGTTACATTACATTTTTTTTTCAATAAGTTACATCTTGATTATACTTGATTTAAATTTGATATACTACGAGTTACATCACAAAAAAATGCGAGATACACAACAAAATAAACCTCTGTTATTAAAAAAAATGATGTTCTTATTAAATATCATTTTTAATGGCCCTATTATTAAAAACAAAACATATGCGCTAGTTTTGTAAAATAATTGGACAATTGAACTCATTTTTTCATTAAACACGAGTTACATTTCAGGGCACAAATTACATTTGTTGTTCACTGAAAGTGTCGCCATGTTTCAATAGTATCATCGCAATTTCAAAATACTTCAAATGTGATTGAAATTTTACTACCTCCATCCATCCTTAAGCTTCTTATTGAAAAATGACACCGTTATTTAGACAATAACAAAATAATGGAATTCATTTATATTTTCAGAAGTAATTTTGATGAGTATATAACATAATGATGTCATTGATGATTGTTATGTTATAGGTGTTTCATTTTTAATATTTGATGATTTCTTTGTCATTTAAGCCTTTTAAGGGGGTGTTTGGATCTAATTCTTAAAACTGCTTCTGCTCCTTCAAGGAGCAGAAGCAAAAGTTGGTGAGTTTGGGTGAAAGTGCAAAAGTGAGACCAGCTTTTTAAAACTAATTCTGATTCTACTTTAAAAAGGAAGCAGAATCAATTCCAAACAATTCTAAACACCCCTAAGAGTGTGATAAGAACAGAAAAATAAAATCAACGGGGTGAACCGTTGCCCAGATAATCAACGATAAATAAACACCGTTGCCCAGAGTCAAAAGGCTAAACCAACTTTTATTCCAAGATGAAAAGAATGAACTCTGGCGAGGGGTATAAATAGTCTTCTACAAGCAACCCTAATCAAGCCCAAATTAATTAAATCCTAATTGGCCCATACTACTCTACTAAGTACTCTACAAATAAAAGGCCCAAAACATAACATTAACTTAAAATAATAATAAATAATTATAAAGACATCCCGTAACCGGCCCACGGAAGTGGGCCCAAGCCCGGTCCCGCCACAAGCTCTTCCCGCTTCATATCAATCCATCCCCCTTAAGATAACGTTGTCCTCAAGGTTGAAAACTCGCGGATCGGGAACTGAAATTTTCATACATATAATAAACTGGAAAATATTCTTCTTCTCTTTCCTGAACCCTTTACTGGCCGGTTATTTCACAGAATTCATGCTGCTTGAGGTCCAACTCTTCATCCTCCTCAACTAACATTACCCGCAGCTGCTTAAAGGGACAATCATGTGTTGGTGTAAATGGTTTCTTGCACCTAAAGCATAATCCTTTTGCCCTCAAATCTGCTAACTCTTTTGGCGCAAGACGGGTGAACTGAGATCGTGTCGTAGGCTGCCCAGATAGGCCTGACTGCGTCCCCGGAGGCTGTCTACTATCTTTCGCAAAGCTGTCCCATGAGCCCTGTAAGCTGCCACCAGTGGCAGTCAACGAGGGACCCGTGTTTGCCCTTACAAAACTGCTGGAACGTACCCCTGAAGAATGATAATTCAGGCTGCCACTTCCTCCACTTTGGACGGACAAATTATGCTCTATATCGCGAGCTAATTCCATAGCCGTTTCCAGGTATTCTGGCCGAAGTAATCGCAACGAACTTCGGATTGTTTCCTTAAGCCCACTCATGTAATAGCCCAAGTAATGATCGTCAGTTAATCCGGGTACTTGACTGGCCAGTTGTACAAATAAAGTATTGTAATCTTCCACTTGCCCAATTTGTTTGACGCCAGACAGTCGTTCAAATTGATTCCCCTGAAATCGGGAATCAAATCTAGACACTAGGGACTGTTTGAAATCTTCCCAGGTTATACCGGGTCTTCGTGATTTCAACCAGGTTACCCAATAGAGAGCTCCGCCTTCCATGGCTACCACAGCGACAACCACCTTTTTCTCCGTTAGGGTGTCATTTAATTCAAATTGTTGCTCTGCCCTAGCTATCCACCCGATCGGGTCTCCTCCATCAAACGCTGGCAGTAGCGAGTGAACTGGGTCGCGCAGCACTGGGTCGCGCAGCACTGGGTCGCGCAGCACTAGGTCGCGCAGCACCCTATCCGCGTGCGGAACAGTCACGGCGACTCCCACCCCAGCCGCTGCGGCGTCCGGCGAGACAGGCGGCACCAGCGCCTGAGTCAGTCCGGCGAGCGATGCAACGATCTCCACCAACTTTGCACTGTGGTCTTCGAGCGTCTGGTTCATCGCCACCAGTTGCGTGCCATGACCTTCGAGCGTATGGTTCATCCGGGTTTGCTCAGCCCCTAATCGAGCCACCTCCTCTCTTGTTCGGCCTTGTTCGTTCTCCAATTCCGTCAATCGATCATTCTGAGATCTTGTCATCTTGGCGGGACGGGATCCGACAGGTCGGACCAATTGATAAGAACAGAAAAATAAAATCAACGGGGTGAACCGTTGCCCAGATAATCAACGATAAATAAATACCGTTGCCCGGAGCCAAAAGGCTAAACCAACTTTTATTCCAAGATGAAAAGAATGACCCCTGGCGAGGGGTATACAAGCAACCCTAATCAAGCCCAAATTAATTAAATCCTAATTGGCCCATACTACTCTACTAAGTACTCTAGTAATAAAAGGCCCAAAACATAACATTAACTTAAAATAATAATAAATAATTATAAAGACAGCCCGTAACCGGCCCACGGAAGTGGGCCCTAGCCCGGTCCCACCACAAGCTCTTCCCGCTTCATATCAGAGTGCTAATTATTTCCTAAAATAGAAATGATAAGTTTTAGCCGGGACGTCCAAAAAGGCAAGTTGAAAATTTTAAGTTGGGACAAAGGGAGTACCTGTTTTGCAATTTGAATATCCAAACAATATATTTTTATACATATATTTGGTTGATGTCCAATTTCTATCATTTGCAATGGAGTCAAAGATTCACTATTTTTTGGCTTGAGAATATGATGGAATAAAGCAAAATGGATCACTAAATTGTCTGCGCTTCTTTGTTATGAAGCAGCAGTCAGCCTAGGCAATTTTGGACACAATTTTCACTATGGGTCATCCGGAAACAGTCTCTCTGTGCTTTAGTATACGGGGTAAGACTGCGTACATCCGACCCTCCCTTACCCTACCGTAGGTGGGAGCCTTTGTGGCACAGGGGTAATGATAATGATGATGATTTGGTTGATGTCCAATTAAGGTCTTTATTGCCTCTTTAGAAAGTAGAAACATGTTTTAGCACATGGCCGCTCCTCTGTTGGTATGTCCCAAAATAATCCTAGAGGTGTTTGCCCTAAAGCAATCCTACGTAATTCATTAATATGGAAAGATAATACATACTGATCCTTACTATTAGCTGTTTAGCACCTTAATCCCAACTAGTTAGGATCACTGCCGTAAAATTCATAGGACAAATTAATGAATCGTATAAAATAATTAACACTACAATTTCAAGCAAAAAAAGCTCAGTGGTAATGTTTACGCAATCACACCAGATGCCCCTTTCCCTTCACAGCTTTCATTGGAAACAGTCTGAAACTATCACAATCATAGGTTGATTTTTTCCCACATGATCATGCGATATGTCAATATCCATGAGTTGAGATGTTTACTAGCCCATTCATGATTGATATTTTTGGTACAATGGAAAGATCCATTACATGATTTCTTTTGCAAGGCGATCATGCAAATCAAGGAACATGACTAGCGCAGAAACCGGCCTGACCTGACCTGAAAAAAAGTTGCCAGTCCAGTTTTTTTGGTAAATTGGCGGTCCGGAAAATTACAGTACTTGAACCCATTCTGATCGAGAAACTTACAGTCCCAAAAAAATTAAGAACCAAACTCAGACCAAAGAAAATCTGAACTACCCATATTAAAAAATTAATGCTATGTGTGTGTATCTATGTGAGAAAACTAAGAGCAAATTGAAAAAGGAAGGTTACAAGTCAGATGACAAGAACTAAATAGGAAAGGAACTTAGAAACCCTAGAATTCTAGTATTCTAAAATAGCCAATCTTCTATTGCTCTTAGTCCTAGTTTCTTCGCGCTGCAGATTTGACATTTTTTTTTGTCTTCATCAACTTATTTGAGTCTTTTAATTTGTTTCAGTTATCCTTCATTTAAAATTATTTATGATTTGGGATTTGGTTGTATGGAACTTAATCTTATTAGAATTTATGTTTGGCAGATCATCAATTCTTAATTTTTCTTGTCACTATTAATTTTACATTTGTTTATATGTTTACTAGTTTTAAATTTGTTTATCAATTCACCAGGTTTGAATTTTTCAGAAAATATACTCATAATTAAAATTGTTTGGATTAGAGATTGTCGACTTCAGCTTTGAATTTGTTACAAAAGATATTCATAATTAAAATCGGTAGGATTTAGATTGTTGACTGATTTGGTTATTTTATGTGAAATGTTGTTTGTCATTTAAATTTGTGATGGCAGTTTTTTCCCAGATCATTGACAGACCCAGACTGAATCCAAATACCTAAAACCACGATTGGCACAATTGTATTAGGACGTGTTACTAAATGGGAGTACCAAAACCCAAAATATCATGGGTATTTTTAGGGTCCATTTGAAACCCGACTAGTACAAGCCTGACCCCTCCCCCAGATAACTCATACTTAAGGAACAACATATCCGTAGGAGAACAACTGTAAAGATAGATACATACCTCATCAACTATAATGCCATTTTTTAAATCGCAAAACTTTTGGATAATCCTTTCCCAGATGCACACTTCAACAGTGAAAAGATTACTAATTCAATTCCAAGCCAAGGACGACAATACTTCCCTGCCCCAGCCCCCAAAACCTCCAGTTAATAACCAAAAAACATCACTTGACACTATGCACTAGTTGCATTCTCTACCATTTATAAAGATCAGAAGAAAAATAAATTTTGTCAGACGTATCAATTGCAAAATACATATTCAAAGAATGATATTCCGAAAGGAAAACAAAAAAATGTGTCCCAAATTTGTCGATAAAACATTTTTATAACTCTAATTGATAAACATTTTCATATAAATTAAAAATTAATACGAAATAAAACTTTTTTATAACTTCTGTACAACCAGAAACCGCATGGAATTGTATGTGAGTATTGTAGCGCATATCTTCATTTTCCTCATTGGCCATGGAAAAGATATAATGTAAGATAAAACTAACAACTACAGAAAACTCTGAAAATTGATGGGATTCTTGATTATAAATAAATGATGTTAACGTAGGAAGAAATTTTGTAACATACCCAAATTCCCTGTAGTGCTTTAACCACTTGGAAACTATGTTGATCGGTAGAAAAGGAGTGAAATACGATGCGAAAACTCTGACTCCAATTACCTCTGCATGGCGATTGATTAATGGTCCTCCAATGCCACACTATCTCATCAGGAACCACAAATTTAAAATGTTATATTGAACAAAGTATACACAGCATATCAAACTACTTGAATAACAAAGACATGACAGAAAATGGAAATGCTATGGTAAATGAGAGTTGGAAACTTAAATAGAAATTAAAGTATTTCCCATGAATAAGTAGTTGGCCAGAATCCTAATTGTAAAAACCTAAACTCGCATCAATATATAACTACAAGATTCCAACTACAAAAAATTGTAACTCAATATGCTTATGGTTGGCCATTTTTGATAAAATGATATGGGACTTATGACATCGACTTACTTTTATATATTTTAGCTCATCCGATGCACGCCGGGATGTGCAAACATGAAGCAAAATTAAGTTTAGTTGGGATCCTTTGTTATTGGTACTTGATACTATTTGGCTCATTATTCTAAATTGCTATAGACTTCCAATTGGTTAGAAGAAAATTATGGGTCCTACGAATTCGGAGCACTTTCCTTCTTGTTTCTCTTATAATGTCTTGAACAAGTATATTGCACTTCAAACTTCCCATTTGCAGATGGAATAAAAGTGAAGAATGAAGTGTATATTTCATAACTCTACTACTTATGTGCAACCAACTACATAAGCAATGAGCAACAGCAACCTGACTATAACAACACAAGAGTTCTCAAATAACCACGTGGTAAGTCTGTTCATAAAACCACATGTACTAGGCATATATGTATCAAGTATCAACACTGCCCTCAACTTGGAACATAATATGTCTGTATATCAGTGTTGTTAATCCCGGATAGCGGAGCTTAGCGGCCACCCCCGAAAACGCTATAGCGGTATAGCAGATAGGATGACCGATGACCGCTATTTAGACAATATATATGCGAAGTACATATCATATGTGTGCATACAATTGCATGTCATGCACATATCAATTCCAAGAAATGATAAAACACGAATATATTACTCAAACGTCATGAAATTTACACTTACTAATTTACCAATAGAGGCATTAGTGTCTTAAACAAAAGAATCAAATAATTTAAGTACCTTATCTCTTAAAATTAAAAATTAAGTTCCAGATAATTCTTGATAAATTATCAGTCATTAATATCTAATTATAACAAAATCATGGTCGCTGGGATGCCTTGAACTAGCTTAACATGGAGATGCATGCTACAAGTTATGTTTGATCTTGGTTTCTGTTTTGAGTTGTTTTAGTAGGGTCATTTGGCCCCCACGTGTTTTGGAGGGTGTATTGAGGTTATTTTTCACTCCAAAAACATCTAAAAGTAAAAAGTACTCCCAAATTCCCTCAAAACTAGCACTAGAATAGCCCTGTAAATTATAGCGGCACTATAGCACCCGCTACAGCCACTATTCTTCCCGATATAGCGCCCGCTACAGCCGCTATTGCCAACCGCTCCGCTATAGGCAGTTTCATAGCGCGTAGCCCCTGCTCTGCCCCGCTATTCCGCTATAGCGCCGCTATAACCTGCTATTGACATCACTGTTGTATATATATACACATTAAAAAAGTGACTTCCCCATGAAAAGTAAGAATAAATTTGGTGCATTGAATTTAATCAATTTATGATCTAATGGATCTAAATATGTCAACAATGCATTAAATTTAATAAAAACTCAGTGCCTTTTTCGTAGTTAAATAAAAATTCCTGTCATTGCAAAAAGTGCATTGATTATATATATAAAGTTGAAATAAAAAATGTTTAACCACTGCACTTTTGTCACAACGTAAAGTACATCAATTATATAAACTCTTGTCACCATGCAAAGTGCATTGATTCAATAGGAGTTTTAGTGTAGATTCAATTTATCAACAACTGTATCACTATTCCTAAAATTTAACACTCACCTTAAATCTTAAGAAGGCTGTATTTTGAATCTTACTTTGAATTGTACTCCGTATCATATATGAGCAACCTAGAGTTGTAAATATATAAAGCGATGACAAAGATGGTTACTTTTGTAATTCTGCAAGTTGATCTCAAGAGCTCTTTACAGTCAAATCTGCATTGTTCAAGACTACAAAAAAAAAATAACCATTAACAGAGATCATTAAAGCATGTTAATAAACAATGTGATAATTTGATCTAGAAAGCTATCTTGTAGATCTATCATCGTATTAGACTTCTCAAATCATATCACATCAGTTTGCAAAAACCATAAAGTATATCCCTCTTCTTTTCTTGAACAACTGACTCATAAGGTAAATCTGGTTGGTGTTTGGTTAGCTTGCAAAGAAGTATCAACATCTTTAATCCTCTTCAACATTAATGTAACTGTACAAAGTTCAGCTTGAAATTAGTTTCAAGGATTGAAAATTGCTGCTTCAGCCAATTAAAAAACAATAATGATAGAGTACAAAAGAACACTTCTAACTGAACAAGAATGAAAATTTACAAAGTTTTAATTAAGCTTGGAGAGAACTAGAGAAGCAATTCCCAAATGTAATACATACCTATTTTAAAAAAGAAAAGGAATAAAATTCACGTTTTAATGTGTTTCTAACCTGATATTACCCGGTGAAGCCATAATATCACACTCCTCGTGATAGCGACCAAGTGCTATAACTCTACTCCCGGGAGTCAATTTGAACAATTCAGAAATAGAGTGATGACGAGGCATAATTGACTCTTTCTCAGTGGTGGAAACCTTGCTTGGGTCAATAATGAATGAATTGTCAACCTGGCTACACCTTGCAATTTCTAAAGCATGTTCTGCTTATATTGTAATTGCAGCATAGATTAGATGGAGTGTAACTATAATCAACAGCTCAAATAGATCTATAATTTTCTGATGCTTTTGAAGACCCACCTATGTTTGAAGATGAAGAAGAAGATAATAGTGTCAAGTTGTTTTTCGAAGAATACGGGAAAAAGTTTGAAACAGTACAAGCTGTACATGACGAAACGATCAGTCTCAATCATTCTCAACAGTTAGTTTGATGAATTCTTTTCTCATTTCCCTATTGGTTGACAACTAAACAGGTATTTTAAAACTCTTCAAAAAATTGAGACAGAACCGCCGGATATTGACCGGCCCGAATAGGGACCACCGATTCGTTTACGGGACTGGACAGAGACTGCCCAATTGTCCATCAGACCAAACACATACTATCAGGTCATTTTCCGGGCAGGATGGGAACCCTCGGGTCGTTGTTCGGACAAGAAAGGAAAGGGACCGCCGGGTGGTTGACTGGACAGGACAGGGAGCGTTGGGTAATTGACTGGAACAAACGGGTACAATTGTATCGTTGACTAGACCGGATAGGACTGGGACTACTCGGCCGTCGATTGGACCGAACAAGTACCGCCTGATCGTGGATCAAATCGGGCAAGGACTGTCGGGTCATCAATCGGACCGGACAGGGGCCGTCGGATCATGGACCGAACCAGATAGGGACTGTCGGATCATGGACCGAACAGGACAGGGACCACCGGGTCATGGACCGACCCGGACAGGGACCACCGGGTTGTCGACCGGACTGGGATCATTGGGTCATCGACCGAACTGGACCAGGATTACTCAATCTTCGACCAGACCAGACACGGACCGTCGGGTCAATTGGCGGACTAGACCGTCAGGTTGTCAGACTGCAACCAAATCGTTTTCCAAAACGAATAAAATGATACATGTATCTCTTTTCCTTACTGAATTGGAGAATTGACTTTTACTAGTTTTCCAAATTTGGAAAACGCATGTGCTACAGTGCCGCTGAAATGAATTTGCACATTTACGCCTATGGATCTAGTCTCGCTTCAGTGTCGGTTCCATTCCTATCCCGCTCCGGTGTCGGTTCCATTCCGATCAACTACCCTACAGTCCCTATTTGGTCCGGTCAACGATCCGGCGGTCCAGTTCGATCATTGACCCGACGACACTTGTCCGGTTAGGTCAACGACTCGACGATCCCCATCTGGTAAGGTCAATAACCCAGCGGTCCCTACCTGGTCTGGGTCAACGACCCGACGGTCCGGTCCGATCATTAACCCGACGGTCCCTGTCCGGTCCTGTCGACGACCGAGCAATCCCTGTCCGATCTGGTCGACGACCCAGTGGTCCCCGTCCGGTCCATGACTCGGCAATCCCCAGTCAAGTCTGGTCCATGACAGTCCATGTCCGGTCCGGTCGATGACCCATGGGTCCCTATCCTGTCCCATCGATGACCCGATGATCCTTATCCAGTCCGATCAACGACCGGACGGTCCCTGTCCGACGACCAGTCAATGACCCGACATTTCAATTTCGGTTAAGTCAATATTCACTTTTTAATGCGAAGAGTTCTAAAAGAGCGTTGAGTTGTCAACCAATAGGGAAATGAGAAAAGAATTCGTCAAACTAACCGTTCAGATCGACCGATACTAGCAGATTTTGGTTCCGACTTTCCTATACGTGGGACCCGATACCCTACTTGGGTTGTACTAGGTTTGATTTCGGAATGGGACCGCACTTTCGGTCTTCTGGAGGATCACTGAACTGGGTGAAAAAATTTGATGAACATGTTCATCAAATTCATTTGTGGATATAAAAAACTTTTTAGGTGAAATGTCTCAGGTGAAGGTTGTGAGAAATTTAGTTTTTTAGATAATACTCCCTCCGTCTCCGAAAAAAGTTCTCAGTCACTATTCATTGGTCAACTTGAGTCACTCCTAATCCTTTACTTTATATATCAAATTTTTATCAAACTTAAATTTTCTTGATCAGGCTTTGTAGCGGTTTTAATGTAGTTTCTGAATATGTAAATTTTATTTACTAAAAATAATCCAGGTGTGCACAGGGATTGAGTTGTTTTATCGTCAGTCAAACATCGTAAACCGAACGGGAACTTCTTTCGGGGACGGAGGGAGTAATTACTTTATACGTAGTACTCCGTATATTTTAAGAAGGTGCATTTCTAAAAGAAAAGAACAGTTTTTGTAGACTAAATATAATGCCCGACTTATGTATCTCGAATTCATAAATTGATGTATTTTGTAATACGCAGTTCTTGCTGAAGTTTGTGTAGAACCTACAAAAAAGAAAGCAAGCAAAAGCAGCACTGCTCCTCTACCATTTCCGGGTACGCCTCCTTTAACATTAATGCATTTAAATCTTTTTCTAATGTGGCTTTATTGCTTTAGTTTACAATTCTGGGCCCCCTCCTCCTTTAAACATTATGAAAATATGTAATATTATTCCCACTACTATTCCTTTTGTATTGACTATTCCATCCCTTCTAAATTATTAAAGATATCTAATTACAGTCTCATTGCTACATATTAATATTTAATGTAGAATTCTTAGAAATAATTTAGTATCTCTATTATAGTGAACAAATCAACAAATTGAGTTTGTATATGATACATATTATTTTCGTATATTTGTACAATATCTCATACAAAATATTAAATTATATTCACACTTGTAAATAAGTCTAGGATGAGACATACTCCCTCCGTCCCGTTGGAATGTTCCCACTTTCCTTTTTTGGATGTCCCAATGGAAAGTTCTCATTTCCCTAAATGGAAAGTTATCCTACATCAAAACAGTGTCAAACAGTGCAAAACAGTATCAAACAGTGTCCAAACAGTAAAATTTACCCCCTGGTAAGTTTATTTCCTTAATATGTGTGTAGGTCAAACCGGGAACATTCCAACGGGACGGAGGGAGAATTTTTTTGTTGTTGAAAATGTTAAGAAAAGTGAGGAACTTTACACCGGTTCACATTTTTGAATTGGTTAACGAGATTATTGGTACAATCTCGTTTTTATTTATCACCGGTTATATCAGAACTGCCCAAATTAGTAATACTCCCTCCGTCCCAATTTGATGATCCCATTTCTTTTGGGCTCAAAGATTAAGGAAGTGGTTGAAAAGGTAAAAGTTATGGTTGAGATTTGAGTAGAAAAAGGTGAAATGATGTGGACCACATATTTCTTTCCAAAAAGGGAAATGGGACTATCAATTTGGGACGGCCCAGAAAGGAAATACGGGATCATCAAATTGGGACGGAGGGAGTATCTATTATAGTATTATAAAAAGTTCCATAGCTGCTCACTCTATATATATTTATATTTATAAAAATATATATTAAAAGCTCATGCACCTAATCGAAAAAAAAACAAGCCAAGGATCAACAGACACCGGTCCTATACTCCTGCGCCCAATCCAAAAAAATTAAAGCACTGGCCCCCAACTTCTGCCACAAAGAATATAAATATTGTTTAGTCAATCAATTTGTTTCTGAATTAAACCATTTGTAATAACCAAAAGTCATATTTTAGCTTCTTACTTCAATGCATCTATGCGTGGATCTGCACCTCAATCCACACTCAACTTTTTATGAGACCTAATAAATATCAAAAGAACCATTTATTCTTTGGCCTTCTTAATAATAGTTTTATTTGTTTTGTATTATTGTATATCAGATGGCAAAAAGTGTTTTTTTTTACTCGGCTGATTATTTCATTTGTTTTGTCTATCAGATGTCACAGAAGTGCTTTAAGGATAACGAGCCCACCAGATTAAATTTTTTAAGGGAAAGAAAATCTTTTTATAAGGAATTAGTTTCATGCGTGTGGGGGTTAGAGAGTTATTATAAAGATTCTGAGGAATGTAAGACTGGAACTGCATTCTGTGTTGATCCAGAGGGTTTCATGCTATCATGTGCCCATGCCATTGTGAATGAAGATGAGACATATCTTTATACTTCTTAAAAAACTTATAAGGGAAAAATAGTAAAAATGAATAAAGAGTGGGATATAGTTTTAATTAAGGTGGAGGTAGAGGATGCTTCAGATTACATCAGATTTAGAGATGAGGCAGAAAATGTGATATCATGTGGTGAAGAAGTTCAGTGCATTGGCAACCCCGCTGGTTTGGATTTCTCTTTCATGACAGGCAGAGTTGCTTACAGAGGATGCATGGAAAATATAGGTAATGCGATAAAAGGCCAACTTTGGATGGGTCTCTACTATTTAGTAAAACATTAGGCAATAGTGTAGAACCGAGTCTAATTTCTAACATTGATCCAAGTATCCCGATTATTCAAATAAGTCAAATGAATGGGATACAAGGATCATTTGGATCTCCGGTATTTGATAATAGGGGGCTTGTCATTGGGATGATTATAACGGTTTCCAATCAGTATAATTTGGCAATCTATTTCTCTATGCTTGAGCAATTCCTAAATAAAATCAGATTCCTAGACTTAAAGCAAATCTTAAAAGAAAAAGATTTGACTGAAGAAAAAGAAAAAAAGTTATCTTCAATGAGTGGGAGTATCAACAGCAGTGGGCTCTAAGATAGAGAGGCAGGCTAAGGAAAGTTGTTACCAAAGCTGAAGGAGAAGAAATGATTAATAATAAAGATGCAAAAGAAGAGGTTGTAGAGGGGGAAACTAAAAGGGCCAAAACCAGTTGTGGTGGGAAAAAAGGTGAAGAATCAGAAGATAAGAGGAATTGGGAGCAGGGGTTGCTGCTTCATCTTCATTGTTATTACCATCATCACAGAAACAGCAGCCTAAGAGAAGAGCCTATAGGATTTATGTCCCATGACATAATTAGTTCTCGCGTTTAAGATTAACGGGTAATTGGTTGTATTTTTATTTATGTCCGGAAATGTTTTGTAATTTTTAAACGCGAGAACTAATTATGAATAATACCAATTACCCGTTAATCTTAAACGCGAGAACTAATTATGTCATGGGACATAAATCCTATAGGCTCTTCTCCTAGGCTGTTGTTTCTGTGATGATGGTAATAACAATGAAGATGAAGCAGCAACCCTGCGCCCAATTCCTCTTATTTTCTGATTCTTCACCTTTTTTCCCACCACAAGTGGTTTTGGTTCTTTTAGTTTCCCCCTCTACAACCTCTTCTTCTGCATCTTTATTATTAACCATTTCTTCTCCTTCAGCTTTGGTAACAACTTTCCTTAGCCTGCCTCTCTATCTTGGAGTCCACTGCTGTTGATACTCCCTCTCATTGAAGATAACTCTTTTTCTTTTTCTTTAGTCAAATCTTTTTCTTTTAAGATTTGCTTTAAGTCTAGGAATCTGATTTTATTTAGGAATTGCTCAAGCATAGAAAAATGGATTGCCAAATTATACTGATTGGAAACCGTTATAATCATCCAATGACAAGCCCCCTATTATCAAATACCGGAGATCCAAATGATCCTTGTATCCCATTCAAGGATCATTTGACTTATTTGAATAATCGGGATACTTGGATCAATGTTAGAAATTAGACTCGGTTCTACACTATTCCCTAATGTTCTACTAAATAGTAGAGTCCCATCCAAAGTTGGTCATTTTATCGCATTACCTATATTTTCCATGCATCCTCTGTAAGCAACTCTGCCTGTCATGAAAGAGAAATCCAAACCAGCAGGGTTGCCAATGCACTCAACTTCTTCACCACATGATATCACATTTTCTGCCTCATCTCTAAATCTGATGTAATCTGAAGCATCCTCTACCTCCACCTTAATTAAAACTATATCCCACTCTTTATTCATCTTTACTATTTTTCCCTTATAAGTTTTTTTAGAAATATAAAGATATGTTTCATCTTCATTCACAATGGCATGGGCACATGATAGCATGAAACCCTCTGGATCAATACAGAATGCAGTTCCAGTCTTACATTCCTCAGAATCTTTATAATAACTCTCTAACCCCCACACACATGAAACTAATTCCTTATAAAAAGATTTTCTTTCCCTTAAAAAATTTAATTTGGTGGTCTCGTTATCCTTAAAGCACTTCTGTGACATCTGATAGACAAACCAAATAAAATAATCAGCCGAGTAAAAAAACATTTTTTGCCATCTGATATACAATAATACAAAACAAATAAAACTATTATTAAGAAGGCCAAGGAATAAATGGTTCTTTTGATATTTATTAGGTCTCATAAAAAGTTGAGTGTGGATTGAGGTGCAGATCCACGCATAGATGCATTGAAGTAAGAAGCCAAAATATGACTTTTGGTTATTACAAATGGTTTAATTCAGAAACAAATTGATTGACTAAACAATATTTATCTTCTTTGTGGCAGAAGTTGGGGTGGAGTAAGTTGGGGGCCAGTGCTTTAATTTTTTTGGATTGGGCGCAGGAGTATAGGACCGGTGTCTGTTGATCCTTGGCCTGTTTTTTTTTCGATTAGGTGCAGGAGCTTTTAATATATATTTTTATAAATATAAATATATATAGAGTGAGCAGCTATGGAACTTTTTATAATACTATAATAGATATTACGAATTTGGGCAGTTCTGATATAACCGATGATAAATAAAAACGAGATTGTACCAATAATCCCGTTAACCAATTCAAAAATGTGAATCGGTGTAAAGTTCCTCACTTTTCTTAACATTTTCAACAACAAAAAAATTATTAAGAATAATAGCATGTCTCATCCTAGACTTATTTACAAGTGTGAATATAATTTAATATTAAATATTTTGTATGAGATATTGTACAAAGTTACGAAAATAATATGTCTCATAGAATTCTCTTTTACTCTTTAATTTCTTATATACTTTTTATCATATACAAACTCAATTTGTTGATTTGTTCACTATAATAGAAATACTAAATTATTTCTAAGAATTCTACATTAAATATTAATATGCAGCAATGAGACTGTAATTAGATATCTCTAATAATTTAGAAGGGATGGAATAGTCAATACAAGAGGAATGGTAGTGGGAATAATATTACATGTTTTCATAATGTTTAAAGGAGGAGGGGGCCCAGAATTGTAAACTAAAGCAATAAAGCCACATTAGAAAAAGATTTAAATGCATTAATGTTAAAGGAGGCGTACCCGGAAATGGTAGAGGAGCAGTGCTGCTTTTGCTTGCTTTCTTTTTTGTAGTTTCTACACAAACTTCAGCAAGAATTGCGTATTACAAAATACATCAATTTATGAATTCGAGTTACATAAGTCGGGCATTATATTTAGTCTACAAAAATTGTTCTTTTCTTTTAGAAATGCACCTTCTTAAAATATACGGAGTACTACGTATAAAGTAATTACTCCCTCCGTCCCCGAAAGAAGTTCTCGTTCGGTTTACGATGTTTGACGGACGATAAAGCAACTCAATCCCTGTGCACACCTGGATTATTTTTAGTAAATAAAATTTACATATTCAGAAACTACATTAAAACCACTACAAAGCCTGATCAAGAAAATTTAAGTTTGATAAAAATTTGATATATAGAGTAAAGGATTAGGAGTGACTCAAGTTGACCAATGAATAGTGACTGGGAACTTCTTTCGGAGACGGAGGGAGTATTATCTAAAAAAATAAATTTCTCACAACCTTCACCTGAGACATTTCACCTAAAAAGTTTTTTATATCCACAAATGAATTCATAAGAAACGGTATATACAGAAAAAAGTGTATAATTGTATTTAGGAATGGCAGCCTGTGAGACCACTTTGTTGTTGCGTTCTTGTTTAATAGTGTGTGTTAATATTTTTGAATGTTAAGATTTAAGAGTAGTTTATGTTTTAGCATGTGTGAGTGTGGTCTGGAAAGAAGTTAAATTGATGGAATGTGTGTGAGATTATTCATAATTCCAATTTGAAATTCATGTTGAGGAATATAATGAAAAAAATGTTCAATTCTGAATAATTGAATTACAACTTAAATGCACCTAAAAAATTATCACGTGCCCAATTCAGTCAAGATAAGAACAGACCTAGCAAACTAAAGCACTACAAGTCTTCATATGCAAAAAACGAAGAGATAAGAGGAAAGCTCACCCAAGAATGAAATGTAATCATCCAAAACTAACTATTCATGTACAATAAAGAAAATTATCTGGTTTCACTTTAAGAGTCTTTCTAAACAAATATCGAAAATGGCTTTCGAACAATAAACTGAATTCATATTATGGATTGCAAACCATGAGGAGTGCCTATATTTCTGTAATGGAAGAAGAAGAGTGCTAGAACGAATAAGAAATTGAAGTCCTAAACCAGATAGGCTTACATCAAATTGAAGATTTTAACTCTACGATGAAAAAGGAACTGGCGTCGAAACATATCGGGGCAGGGGATAGTGTTCCATGACCGATAGATGAAGTTCTGAACCAGATTACTTTCTGTTGGAGAGAATTTCCCTAGCAATCAATTGGGGCAGATACGAACTAACGAAGGGCATGGCGTTTTTCTAGATGGTGTTTTCGGCTAAAATGGTGAAAATGAGGGCCTGTTTGGATGGAGTGTTTGGAAGTGTTAGTAATGGAAGTGTTAGTAAGTGTTAGTAAGAGCTCGGAAGGGAAGGGAAGTGTAAGTGTTAGACATAATTTTACCTTGTTTGGGAGAGTCAAATGAATGAAGTGTTAATAATGGAAGTGTTAAAGAAAGAGTAAAGAAAGAGTAAAGAGAAGAGATGAAAAAACAAACCATCAGACCCGTGGGAAAGACATTCGAAGTGAAATGTCGAAGCATTTTATGTTTTTCGGGCAAATGAGAAGGGTAATAATTGTCCAACACCTCAAAACACTCCAAATCGGGGTGTTAAAAAATGGAGAATTGAGGTGTTGGGAAGGTTATTATTAACACTTCCTAACCATTACTAACACTTCTTAACACCTCTGGTTTTTTCTCCCAAACAAGTGTTAGCATCAACACTTACTAACACTTCCATTACTAACACTCCTCAACACTCAATCCAAACAGGCCGTGAAAGTAGGGTAGAATGTTGAGAGAGGATCTGGAATTCGAAGTACATTTTCCCAGAAAAAATTAAACATTTAGTCCCTTAATTAATCATGTTATTGGTGTCAAAAAGGAAAACCGTCAATTTGATCTTTGTACTTTCATGAAAAAGTCAATTAGATCCTCGTATTTTTAAAAAAAATCAATCAAATCTTTGAACTTTGTAAGAACGTTCAATTCAGTACATTTGCAGGTTACTTGTCACGTCAGCAGATCATCCGTTGAATGGCGGTCCACGTGTGCGCCACGTCATCAACAAATGGCTAATTGGACTTCCACATGTGTACCACGTCAGCAAAACCATTGCCGGTTGGGTTGTCACGTGTGCGTCACGTCAACGAGTGACCTATTGATAGGCAAATAACCTGCAAATGGATTCAATTGAACGTTTTTACAAAATTTGGGGACTTGACTGATCTTTTTAAAAGTACGAGGGCCTAATTGATATTTTCATAATAAAAGTACAAGGACCAAATTGACAGTTTTCCCGTGTAAAAAAATGTCACGCTCATTTTTTGAGACCGTAAACCTCACCACTGAATTAATAGATGTGTTGTAAATGTCATCCTTGTGAATATATTGGTAGCCTGGAATTAGAGATAGATTATAAATGGCGGGAGTGACATTTATAACAATTTGGCAATTCGAGGGTGACATTTACAATCTATGAAATACAAGTCTGACATTTTAATATGGTGACTAATTGAGAGACCAATGGTGCAATTTGTGAAATCATGACGGTTGACAACAAGCATGTGAGTTGTACGTGGAGCATGCATAAATTGACACACTAAATGTAATGCATGAGTAATATCAAGTCGAGTCAAAGTTAAATATTGTAATGCACCAACCATACTCTGATACTCAGTGGCATTTGCAAGAAGCTCACCATCACTGAGAGAGAGTGTGTGGTGCGGGTAGCAATGGGAGTATGAACTGACTTGAGACTTGAGAGTATGTATGTGAAAATGAGTGAGAAGGTCATACACATATTTATGTTGAGAAAGCAAAAAAACCTTAGCTTTAGGAGTGCGAACATATTGAACACCTAGAAAATAATGTAAATCACCCAAATCTTTCAAAGCAAAATGAGGAGCAATAATATGAATGAAAGAATTAACCGGAGAAGGAGAATTACCAGTAAGAATTATATCATCTATGTATAATAATAAATAATAAATAAATGACAGAATTATTATGACGATAAATAAACACAAAATGACCAGACTTATTACAAACAAAATTAATTATGACAGGTTGGGATGAACCCGCTCGTCCTCGTTGGGGGTGTCATCATCCAGGGTTGGAGTGTTGTCTTGTTCATCCTCGGTCGTCACCAATCCTCCTCCTCGGCGTCCTCATCCTCGAGCTCTTCATCAATCTCGGGCCAACAGTTGTCGGCCAACAGTTGAGCCTTTGCTCATCGAACATCGCATCTCTCCGTTGGTATTGATAATTCGTATCAAAATCATCTCGACTTTGAGAAGAAGACCCGACATGTCCTTTACATTTGGCTCGTGAATTAGGATGATTTTTTCCAATATCCTTCTTTCGGTTGCGTTGGAGGTTAATGTGATTTGTTCAATATTATATTTCGGAAAACCCCCCATTTAATTTGTATGGTAGTTATTCAAATACACATATAAAAAATTCTATTGTATAAATTTTGTATTCTATTTTACTTAAACAACTAATTTATAATGACACATTATTTTAGTAGAGCAATTTTTTTAGTTGTGATAAAGAGCATGTTAAATTTTTTTGATCCGACTTACCTTGTCTCGACTTGACTTTGACATATTTTGTAGCACCCTCTCAAAAAATGATCTGGTTTCATCACAGATGATGTAGAAAATAGCCAAAGCGGCTATTTACCAGTACATATTGGTTAAATGGACCTAGGCATGGACTTAGTCCGCAGGGCCCAATATGTTGGACTGGTCCGGGCCGGGCCTGATTTTTTGGTTCCGGTTATGGACCATCCTGCCTCTTTCGGGTCACATCACCTTGTCCCGAGTATGATTTTTGGGAAGTGAGATCCGTTGGTCTTAGGTCCGGTCCTGTAACACCCCCAAATTTCCCTCCCAAAATAATACTTAAGAAATAATGAACTTTTATTAATTATTCAAAACTTTCAATTGTTTGCAGCGGAATTAAATACTAACAAGGAAAAGGGGCGTGTTACCGCCACACCCAGCCCTAAACCGACTGGATGCTAAGGCTATCCACCGTAAATGTATCTAAAGTAATTATTAAATTCAACATTTGAAATCATGAAGTCTAACAAGGTTCATTCTAAATGAGACTACTCTAAAAATCTTCTAGGAGCGCTCTCAGTGCATCAGTCTTCATAAACCACATCATCTGTAACATAAGAAAATAAAAGAACAAATAACACAAAAATTAGCTTTAGAGCTAAGTAAGTCCCACCCAACCCCGTAAAATAATAGTTTTGTTTAAAATTAAGTATTTGTATATAGTATATACAAAAATGAGTTTCCAATAATTTCAAAAAGAGTAATAATATCTCTAAAAGATTTTCTTCAATAGTTCTCGTAAGTATTTCAAAGAATAATTCTCCAAGTACCAAAATATTTGATTTTTCCTCAAAATAGCTTTATAGCTAATTTTTCCTAATCATTTAGTTAGAAGGGCGGTGCTCAAGCGTTATCTCGATTCTTGAACCCAGTGATCCGTTGTTTTGTACGGTCACTCCGATCTACTCTCGGTACCTCATCTCCTCTATTAGAATCTAGACTTCTACCTTAAGTGTGCACACCCCCTAAAGGGATTCCAAGCCCTCCGAGTAGTATGAAGTCTAAGTAGTTCTGATGTCAACGTCTCCCTACTCCAAATGGGATATGTTCCCTAAGTTCTAGGTTCAAAGACCCTTAAGAGAATAGGTACTACTACTACTGCTCTAATAAAAAGGGATCTGATGCCCAGTTGTTCGGGTATTTTTATCGAACCCTCCAAAATTTATTTAATTTTCTTTACACCTCTCAATTCAAGTAGTAGTAGTCCTAACCCTCCCTCACCATTAACGGACGTGAAGGTGGCCCGACACCTACGGATTTCTCCCGTGGTGCCCCAATTATGAAAACAGTCTTTTATCTTGACTTTCCAAAAATTTCACATTTATGTCTCTTGGACAAAATTTTACCACAAAGATTAAAATTCATAACTTTATATTTTCCCCAAAATATCTTATGTATACACATAATCCGATGTATCTCAAAATCACAACAAATACAACTTGCTCACAAGTAATTCATCAATCAAAATATTCATACCATCACATAAATCAAGTAAATAGATATTTACGAGGTAAAAACATAATTTTGGTTGCAATGTGACTTACCTCAAATTCCAGATATTCTTAGCAAGCTTCCCTAACGGCTTCCTCTCCAAAGTCACCTTCTATTATTTAGAATTCCCGAAGTCAATATTTGTTCTCATTCGTATTATAATTGTTCTACCTTCCATTAAGGATTATGCTTGTATATTTTATTATAAAAGTCCATTTTTAATTTTATTCTATTTTGCTAAATTATTTGGATTTCAGCCTTAACAGTCCGTTTACCAAATTAATATCAATTTAATTAAATCTCATACCGTTTAAATATTCAGGTCATATAATTCATCATTTATTCATATGATTCCTTGTTATTTGTTATTTAATCGGTTCAACATATTGTTAATTTAACGCTTATGTTTAGTTAATTTGATTTTTGTTATAATCCGATAAAGGTAATGCAAGTGATTCATGTTACGTAATGTTAACCGGCCTATTCGTTAGAATTTATCCGAATGTCAAGTAAACTATTAATAATAATGATCCTTTATATTTATCTTAGTTGATCTACTATTTAACCCAAATGTCCATTTTTAATTTGATCGGTCTATTTGTTCTTACCAATCCAGTTTACCATAACCCTTCCAATCCATTTAATGAACTTATTTAATTTCGATCCATTTACATTAATCCAGTATTGCTACCTTAGTTTTTAAATTCGGTCCATTATTATGTCTAACGATCATCCATATTAGTTGGTTTATTAATTTTATTATATCTATGATGTCCATTTTAGAGTATTTCAATGATCAATCGGGTTTAACTAAAACAGTCCTATTTTCATTTTAATCCCAATTAGTCCATTCGATAATAGCCATTTAATTCTATATAGACCATTGATATGTTTATCATTATTATTTATTTTAACAAACAAAATCCAATCCATATATATATATATATATATATATATATATATATATATATATATTTTTTACCCCTTTTAACAGATTACGAGCAGTCCAGATTTATCAAAATCTTTAATTATGATCGATCCAGGTTATTTTTATCAGTGAATCAGTCCATAATTAATTTATTATTATTACGTCATTACTAATAGCCTAGTCATCATTATTATCCTGGACCATAACATTAATACTACGTACTATGTATTACGAGTATTATTACTA